TTTCCCTTTTTTTTCCTTTTTTTTTACTTTTTGGCAATGTAAACAAATTTTATAACCAATTGTGGAAAAAAAATCACTTTAATGGACAATTTCCATGTGAAACAAAGCAAAATGAATAGAAAATTTAAAAATTTTCCAAGTGGAAGATTATACCAATCAAACACACTTGAAATCATTTTCCATGCAAAACATTTTCTTTCCACCCATTTCCCACCCTTGCAATCAAATGCACCCCTTGCGAATTCGAGACAGTGGCTTATTAGAAAAATGGCTTTAATTAAGAATTCTGAACTTCACTAGAGTATGTTAATTCACGTTCGATTCATTATGGTGCTATTAATATACCTAGACAATTGGATACTTTAATGTTCATAAATGTAATTTTGGAATTAATAAGAGGTTCGAGTTGCTATCCTTGTTTCCAAGTTAACATTTTTGACCCCTCAAAGTTAAAAAAAAATAGAAGTGAGAGAGAGACATGTTTTTAAAGAACTTGTTTAAGCAACACCATTCTACTTATAGTAAACCAATTGATTGATGTAACTTGTTGCATTTAGTTAAGGACAATGCTTGATATACACTTTTGTGTACATTAAGTTTGACACTCCCTTCACATGGGGTGGGCCAGCGATTGCAGGTCCCACGCGGGCCCCACTCCCCACATGAGGGGAGTATCAAAATGAATGTACACCAAGGAGTGTACAATGATTCATCATTATCCAAATAATTATGGCTGAAAACTTCAATTGAAGAATCGAATTAAATCGAACCAAAATATTCCATTTTTGTGATACCAAACCTAATTGTCTTAACTACCTGATTTTAGTAGTGACGTGTGATAAACTTTATCAATAGAAAGATCGAGCCGAGGAGAAAAAAACAAAAATAGAAAAGAAAGAAACGCCAAAGGGGCTAATATTTGGAAAGTTAGGGGGTATAGACAAAAAGCCCGAACAGGCAAAAACGTTATCCTCTCTCTCTCCAAAACCAAACATTTTTCATTCTAACAATAGTCTCACTAAATCGAAGAAAATTCATGGCTTCATCGTCATGTTCTTCTGTAATTCCCGGGTTTATCTCCAACAAAAGAAATTTGACTTACACTCTCTCTCGCCGTAACGTCACGCGTCACTTAACGCCGCCGTGCAATGTCGGGAGGAAATTCGGGCTTTATTTGAAGAAGAAGAGTAGCATAATTGTCAGTGTAAAAGGAGATGCGTTACAGTACAGAAAACTTGGGGATTCCGACCTTGTTATTAGCGAAATCACTATGGGCACTGTGAGTATTCGAATAAGATTCTGTTAATTCTAACTATTATTATTGCCCGAGGTTATGATCTAGAAGGCTTATAATGTACTCAGTTGCTTGACTCATTATTGAATGCATTGCTTATTTTCAATGGAATTTAGATAGTTTTTTTTGGGAATTCATATGCAGATGACATTTGGGGAGCAAAATACAGAGAAGGAGGCTCATGAATTGCTTAGTTACTCGTTTGAGAGCGGTATTAATGCTATAGACACTGCAGAAATGGTAAGTTGTCGAATCATTATGTGTATTTGGTGGCGTACAACTGGGGACTTGGGTTCAGTGTTGGAATGTGAAATTATTTGTAATTCCAATAAGCCATAATTACTTGCTGCCAAACATAGTTGTCAAAATTGTACACTCGGCACTTTCGCTTTCTGTAGGTTATATAGAGACTTACTCTGATCATTGAGGCGCTATATTCATAATGCTTACACAACCCCTTTTACAGTGACAATCTGGAACTGTTGCGCTCTTGATGAGCTCGATTTCAAGCAATCAAGTTTGTGACTTTGTTCACTCTACTCATGTGCGTGCATGTGTTTGTGTATGGGAAGGGGATAATTTCTTGTATTTGCTTTCTGCAGTATGAAATCTGGAACTTGGAATTAGGATTCACGAAAACTCCCTTCAAACTTAAATGAAAGACTTTCTAATTTTAGTTTTGAGGCCTTAATTCCCTACTACAAAATACTGCACGAACCTAATTTTTGTGTACTTAATGATTTGCTAATTTCAAGTCCCACTATAAGTGTGGATCTAATAATATATTAGTTCTTTGTCCCATATATGGGCTTTGTGGTTAGTAGTTTCAGTGTTAAATGCTTCTATAAATTATGTCAGCTGTGCTCCATTCGGTCTGAGGAGATGGGAAAGTTAACAACTTCTACAGTTCGATAACTGGAGGGCAAAGGAAGAAAAAAATTAGAATTTGCAACATGTTATTTTCGCAATACAACTTTAGTTTTCTACTGCATTTCTATCCGAATTATTTCTCTTCCCTTTCCTTCCTCTCAGAATGAAAGGACCAGAAGAAGAAAACAAAAGATTGTATGGTCGTTTTCAAAGACCCCATTGAAAAGATAGCTTTCTATTTAATATGTGGAACTAGGTAGATTTACTGTCTTCTCCAATTTACTTAGTTTTAGGTTGCCAGATATGGTTAAGTCAAGTTCACCTTTCTCCTTTTCATTTTTTCTTTTCACATAAAAGTATCCAGTTCCAATAAAAAAGGAGACACAAGGAAGGACAGATCTTTATATTGGTAGCTGGTTAAAGTCTCAACCTCGAGATAAGGTATTCTTGACTACTTTATGACTAGCTCTGATGTTGCTTTGTTCTTTTGAATGTAATATATAGATTGAATCATCGATCAGATACTCTGTCATCTTCTGTTACTTTTCAGTTCCTGCAATGACCTAAATTTTCTAGTCTGTTCCTCTATAAGTTTCTGTATTGACCGGCTTCATCTGAAATGCCAAGTGAAATTGATGATTTGGAGAAATTTTGATTGCGAATAATATCAGTAGTCGTTCTTTTATTTCTGGAATTCTGCTGTTTGTTAATAAAATCTACATTGCAATAGTTTGATCACGATTCACAATTAGGAAATAATGTTCCTTTTATTTTCTGCTTCAGATATAAACTTTACAACAGTATAAATAACACCATTGGTTTCCCATCACAGGGATGAATAATACTTCCTTTATCTCATAATGATTAATGAATGTGTTTTTTAATTTTCTGGACGGCTCAAAATAATGTTCATCTTTTAAAAATAGAGAATTCTACCTTTTATCAAGCACACAGTCCTTTTGCCGTCCCAATTCTCTTTAGATGTTACACTTTTCTTTTTCCTCCAAAATAACCATGCCTTCCATGTAAACCATTCATCTGAACCAAGCAGGAGTAAGTTTTTTNTGGCCACGAAAGTTGCTGGTTACTCAGAGCAAACATCATACTCGCAAGATGATGCGAATTTTGTGCGAGTAGATGCTGTTAATATATGGGAAAGTATAGAGAAAAATCTTAAACGTCTCAATACGGATTACATTGACTTACTCCAAATACATTGGTAAGCTTTTATTGTGACAAGCATTTCCGGATGCTAAAGTGTTCACCTTGGTGATTGCACTCCAAGATACATGTAACTGAGTTTACTGTCATGCTTTTGTCTCTTTATTGCCTATCAGTTTTATAACATATAGTTTCTGTCATTAGAAAATTCCATTCACTCACAAAACCAAATGTATTGGAGGAACAATCTTGTCATCTTCTATAATTTTCCACTTTCCCTTCTCATGCCTGGTATGTTGGAGAATGCCTCCATTTGTTCTACCCTTAGGTAATTCGACCTGGCTATAGAGGAGATTTGAGCACCTCAGTCTTATATTGAACAGCATATTTAATTAACTGAATTTTTTAGGAAAAAAATTGAAATGAATTTTTTGTGTTAATCAAATAGTTGGCATGCTCATATAGGAAGTGAGCAAAATTAGAAGAAAAATGAACCGCAAAGACTGTAATTGGTAGATCTATTACAGGAAGACAGTTGTGAGCGAGCCTTTTATAGACATGATGTTATACTGTAATCTTGTAGAACTCCATGCTTTTCACCGAGAAGGAATGATTTGGTAAATATAACCATGGCATAAATATATTTGCTGACTCAAGTAAAGGCTATTCAAGGTTAACAAGGAGCCATTGAGCCAAATGTATTCTTGATAACTTCAAGTGCAAAAAGTAGTCTCTTTATTCTGTACATATATTCTTTTTTCCTCTCCAGAGATTGTTAGAAAACTAATTGTAATTTCCCCACAGCTGTTGTAGGAAACCTATCTGCTCATATGTTGGTACTCTTTGCTGTGTCTGGAAGTTCCTGTTTTCACGTGCTCAATATATTGTCATGATTGCTTTTCTTGTCATCTTTCTGGAAAAATAAAATCTTTAGTTCTCCACGACTCAAAACTCTTTATAAGTTCTACCGGATAGCCCTCTGTTGATTAAATTTTGATGAATGGATTATTCAGTTTACATTTGCTTCCACCAATAAAAAGTGTTCCTTTACATATATATTTTTTCCCTGTATGCTCAATCTGACGTTCTATACTCATGACCCATTCCACTGCTTTCTGTTTGGTGACGTGAAGTTTTAATGTCGACAGTAGATATTATTTTCTCATTTGGTTGCAACATATAACTGGATAATCCATCGACAATGTACTTTTCATTTGATTTAGGTACCAACATATATATAAATTAAATGTGTATGTACGGAAATATCAAATATATTCATATTTCCATTCTATTAATCAACTGTCAACACTATAAAATGATTTTTTTTCTCAAATTGGTATCAGTTATTAGGTATTAGGATTATAGAATTCATTCGTGTAGAATAGATTTGGCTCCCTGGAAATTTTATTAGGTATAAGAGATTATTAACATATTGAATATTAATTATTAGAACGCTGACGTTCCCTTTTCTCTGAGTTGTTTAGTGCTTTGGTCTGGATGCATTGTTTTCTTGACCTTTTGTGTTGATTGTTATTGATTTCTTGTTTGGTAAAGATTAAAATCCAATTGAAATTGAAAATATAGCCGTTATTGGGTCCCACTCGTCTAATAAAAGTCAACAAGAACGCTAGTTTTTTAATTTTAATCTGATTTTAATCTCTACCGAACACGTCCCGAAGCTGTACCATATTCACATTATAGGTTTTTGTATGATCCCTCTCTCTATTATAGATTGTTGTGTACTTCTGTATCAGGCCAGATCGCTATGTTGCATTATTTGGTGAATATCTCTATGATCCTTCAAAATGGAGGTCCAGCGTGTCATTTGTTGAGCAGCTGAGGGGGTTTCAGGAACTCATCGATCAGGGAAAGGTAAATTTTAAATATTCTTGACGTTGGCAGTTCCTGGTCATGCTTTTGAGCATTTAAGGAGTAATTAACTGAATATATCAGAGCACGACTTCTTACTAACTAAGGCCCTGGTTAGCATTGTATTTGCTGAAGCAATATTTTTAGACTACATTGAGCTGTTTGGTTAATGCAACAAATCACTATTCACAAAGTTCAAGACAACTGATCTTTTTATCACTTTTGATAATAAAAAACGGAATAATAATAACTGGACGATAGTCCGATCAGACAATGCCAGAAGCACATCCATAAATAAAGTGCCAGGTAAGCATAATTGTCTTTGTATTTGTGCATTCTGAGGTTATGTTTATGATAGACTTCTAACATGATAACCACGGGCCAAGTGGGTGTAGTGACAACCTGCACTACTGGACAAGAACTTTAAGGATAACATGTCTATAAATGTTAGAATCATAAAAAAAAAATTCCGAATAGAGAAATATATAACGAAGCTGAGGCTACAGGTTATAGTTGGACTGAGCTAGTTCTGTTCAATCCTGGAAAATGGAACAAACTGCTTTCAAAGAAATGGTTTCTATCAATTTTACCTAACTTATTTTGTCAATATGATTTCTGTTTACAGCTCTCAATGTTTTCAGGTACGCTACATTGGTGTTTCCAACGAAACTTCATATGGAGTAATGGAGTTCGTTCATGCTGCTAAAAATGAGGGACTACCAAAGATTGTCAGTATTCAGAACAACTATAGTTTACTATTGAGGTGCCAGTTTGAAAGTAAGTGATCTTTTCACATTATTATGGAATACCTTAACCAAATGTTAATGCTTTCTTTGATTGATTTTTGTTAAAGAAGTTCCAACCATAGCTTGCAAAATCAAAAGAAGTTCCAGCCATAGCTTGAGAAACCATTATTGTCTAATATGTTATACTAATTCTACAAATTTCATAATCTACTGGAAACATTATAATTCCATAAACAAATGAAAGATCATCAAAACATAATAATTAGTTCTCCTTTTCTAAAAAAAATTATATTTTCCACTGACAGAGCTAGTTACGTCAAGACTAGTTCAGCTGATAAGTTGTCCCAATATCAGCTTCCTCACCTTTTACTGTTTCTGTTGTTGAGCTGTAATAACTTCTTCAATGAGTTCACTGCTTTACTCATCCTATTTTTCTCTCTTCCTTTCCTGTTCTTGTATCTCTGCTGTCCCCCAGGAATGAAGAAAAGGCTGACTTTGCTCGCTTCATTCTTTTTCCTACCTAAGAAGGGGTGACCTTTCTTTCCTACCTTATTCATTCTCCTTTCTAATTACACATTCCAGGGCAAGTCTTCATAACTTGTGCTTTAAAAGTGATTGGAGAATGATCCTTAAGGGAATTGATGTTTGACTGTTTGTTTTTCTGTAATGTTTAATTTATACTCTCGTCTCTTTAGTTTAACACAACTTTTTCCTTATAAAAAGTTATTTGTGATTTAGTGCTCTACCCATATTTTCTTGGGAGGGAAAGGAAAGTTTGTTATGCAATACCTTTCCCTTTTACTTACGTGTCCTCTTTAAATTCCCACCAAACAACTGGACTTGTATTCTTTGCTTCTTCACTCCCAATTATCACCTCCACCGAACCAAGACTAGTTTTTAGCAAAGATGGTTTATTTTATTGCTGTCACTACTGAATGTTATGTGATTTCATCCATTCTGGAAATAATACTTATTTCTGACTTATCTGCCAACATTCGCTTTGTTTGTTGTCTTCACTCCATCTTTTTCTACAATGTAGCCATTTTCATTATCCATTTTATTTAATGTTATCACTTCAGATGGAGCTATTATTGTTTTGACATAACTTTTGTAATTTGTGGCCAAAATATAAAATGCCCCCGATCAATTATACCATTACAGAAATATCATTATGAATCTGACCATCAACCTAGTTCCTAGTTTAATTTGGTTTTCCATTGAATCTGTGCAGTTGATCTTGTCGAAGTATGCCACCCGAACAACTGCAATATTGGCTTACTTGCTTATTCTCCACTGGCCGGTGGATCACTGACAGGAAAGTATTTTGAAACTGATTCTGAAGCTGCACAAAAAGGAAGGTTTAACTTATTTCCTGGCTACATGGAAAGATACAATAAGTCTGATTCTAAGGTACGTGTTACTATTCTTAATGAAAGCTGGACATTAAACTGATCAATACATTAATTTGCTTTTTTAACCTAAGAATTTAAATTTATATGCTACCCATCCAATAGTAATGCTCACGCATTACAATTTTTGACTTTCAAAAAATACTTTGTATCTCAAGCCATTAATATACGAGCTTGTATTTTCATCTCATGTTATTTTTATTAGGTGCTACCTTAGCAAGTTCATGTTCACATGGTGTTCACATATGTCCCAGTAGTCTCTGAATCGTGACATATTAACTTTGATGCAACTTGGACATTCGACTGCGTAATCAATGATCAATAAAATTATACTCTACGCTTTTGCCATTTTGTTTCAATGCTTTATTTGTATCAACAATTTATAAATCAGATCTCCAACAAAGTACTAGATTCCTTAGGCTGATATATTCACTTTGCATT